CCGCCCCCGGCGGGGGGGGGGGGGGGGGCTCAAAGACCCCAGCCGTAAGCAGCGGGGCCGGAGGGAGCAGCCCTGAGCTGGGGGAGCACCATGCCAGAGAGGGAAGGGTCTGGTCTCCAAGGAGCCATGCACAGGGGTTGGGAGGATGAGTGGTACGGGGGTGCCTTGTGGACGCTTTGCTCATGTAGGACCTCCGGTAACACGGCAGCGCACGCACCCTCGGAGCCAGCCTGGGCAGCCCAGCTGGCGGGGACAGGTTGGCGGGGACGGGGCAGACTCCCCAGAAGAAGGGGCCCCTCCGGCCCTACAAAGCCCCTGCCTCTGGATTGTGGGGAAGCCGTGGGGCACGCAGGCTTTTGGATCGGGCCCCATGTTTTTCCAAAGCCATTGACTGACATGGAGTCAGAACCTCAGGCCCCCGGCATGAGCCCTGTGGCCCCCCCCCCCTGTGCCCTGAGCCTGCTGGAAAGCCCCAGCTTTGCTGCGTCTGGAGAGCGCCTGGCTCTCTGTAGCCCAGTCCAAGGGCCTGTCTCCGGTGCTGCCCGAGACCCATGTGAAATCCAGGCTTGGGATCCCTGCGTGTCGCGACAGTTGCTGACTTCCTGGGGCTTCACAGCAAGTGGGAGCAGAACCAGGCTGCGTGTGCACGTGCGTATACGTGCGTGTGTCTACCTGTATGTGTGTACACGTGTGCACTGGCATTGCGCCAGAGGGCCTGAACGAGCAAAGCGCCCACAAAGCACCTCCGTAGCAGAGCGCCCCCCCCCCAACCATGCACATAGCTCCCCCGGCTCAGGGCTGCGTCCTCCAGCCCCACTGCTTATAGCTGGGGAGCCCTCGCACACACATGCACGTGCTCTGTCACGGAGCAGACAGCAGGGCCCTGCTGTCATTAAGGAGCAGAACAAGGCCTGGTGTATTTCCTCCACAAGAGCAGTGATAGGAGACCCGTAAACGACTGATCCGGCAATGGACCGGCCTTGTGTTGCGTCTGCTTGATTTGGGGTGAGGGACAGCGGCCTTATGAAGAGAGATTTGTCCTACTTCATGCAGACGTGGCCGCCTCATCTCAGAAAAGATCTCCTGGCATTGGAAAAGGTTCAGAAAAGGGCAACAGAAATGATCTGGGGTTTGGAACGGGACCCATCTGAAGAGAGATTGAAAAGACTGAGACTGTTCAACTTAGAAAAGAGGAGACTCGGGGGATAGGATAGAGGTCTGTAAAATCATGATCGGTGGGGAGAAAGTGAATAAGGAACAGTTATTTCCTTATTCCCATAGCACAAAAACTAGGGCGCACCAACTGAAATGAATAGGAAGCCAGTATAAAACAAACAAAAGGAAGTTTGTCAACCTGTGGAACTCCTTGCCAGAGGATGTGGTGAAGACCAGGGCATTAACAGGGTTCAAAAAAGAGCTAGATAGATTTAGCTAGATAGACCCAGTCAGGCTGTCCTTGGCTGTTGGTCTCCCTCGCCACAGCATGACTCCAGGGGACAGCCCTGTGGCTGCGGAGCTGCTGTGTGAAGCACATTTGGCGTGTTGCTCTTAGTAGCCAGCTGGCCCCGTCTGGCTGATGAGGTGGGTCAGTGGCTGGCACGTGACCATTTGTCGTGTGCTTCGATTTATTTTAGATCCGAGGGAAACCAGGGCACTCCAGAGAGACTTAACCACTTTCTTATTTAGGGCGAGCTTCAGGCAGTTAACAGCGTTTACATTTTATAAGCTTTAAAAACAATTACTACACAATTGAAACCTTAAATACTCTACGTTCTGAAGCAATTAATGTAGGGCAAAGCAATGCATAAGCAATGAATAGAAGTGTGTTATAATACAATAATCAATAAACCCTCTTGTGCAACACCATTACACCTATTACTTTTCAGGAAGAACAGCCTTGCACAA